TCTAGTCCTCCGTAGGCCCTCCCATGCACGCGTTCCGTCATGAGCGTCGGGCGCCTCTTCGTCGCGACTGTACAGCTTTTGATTCGCAAAATCCATGAATCAATCGCCGAATTCGGACGTTCTCGACTTTTCTTTGTGCGCCGATTTGGCGCGCTCTCCAACCCGCCACTTTACACTTGCCGTTTGTATACCCTGGGTGTCCCGCGCGTTTTTAAAAAACCAGAATATTGTGCCACGTCAGCGACTGATCTTGGTGTTTGTATGTGACATACAAAGTACAAGTGAGCTCATTTTTATCGCACCTTGGCGAGCGCATCGGGTCGCATTCATTTTCGAGCTTTCGGCCGACGATGAAGACGCTCCTGCTCGCCGGCGCAGCCGCGCTGGTACGCGCCGTCGCCGCCGAGGACAAGGCCGCCGCCGTCTTCGGCTACATGCCCGCCGACATGGTGCGCAACATCCAGTGCCAAGTGTGCAAGACGCCCGAGCTCACGGGCACCGTCACGGACTCATGCTGCAACTACGAGACGGTCGACGTGGCGACGCAGGCCCACTTCCACCCGCTTCTCGACGAGCTCCGGACACTCTCGTTCTTTCGGTACTTCAAGGCCGATTTGACCAAGGAGTGCCCGTTCTGGCACTCGAACAACCAGTGCGCGAACCGCGACTGCTCTGTGTGCGAATGCGCCAAGGAAGAGATCCCCGCCAAGTGGTATGCGCAGGACGAGGCTGCAAAAGAGGCGCGCGAGCGTGAGGCGCAGCAGCCCTGCGACGACCAACGCGGCGAGGGCGAGCTCTCCAAGATTGACCGCGCCAACGCGGCCGTCGGTACCAACTTCAACCCGTGGTCGACAGCAGCCATCGAGGACGACGTGCCCAACGAAGACGCCATGATCTACGTCAACCTGCTCGAGAACCCCGAGCGTTTTACGGGCTACAGCGGCAACTCGGCGTGGCGCGTCTGGAAGGCCATTTACGAGGAAAACTGCTTTCACTCGGACGAGCTCTGCCTCGAGGAGCGTGTCTACTACCGCCTCATCTCGGGTCTCCACACGTCCATCAACACGCACGTCGCACTCGACTTTCGCTTTGGCGACCATTGGGGCCCCAACACCAATATGTTTGTCGACCGCGTCGGCGCGTTTCCCGAGCGGCTGCAAAACATGTATTTTACCTACCTCTTTGTCTTGCGCGCGGTCGGGCGGTACCGCGAAGTGCTACTCAACTACGACTACTCGACCGGGAACGCGTACGACGACCAGCGCGTGCCCGAGCACGTGCTCCGCGCGCTCTTTGACGTCGACAACACGGCCTTCAACGCCAGCTGCCGCGCGCCGTCCGACTCGCGCGCGGTCCTCGCCGGCTTCAACGAGACGATGCTCTTCTCGAAAGGCGTCTCGGTCGCCCACCAGCGCGACCAGTTTCAGCGCAAGTTTGAAAACGTCTCGCGCATCATGGACTGCGTCACGTGCGAAAAGTGCCGGCTCTGGGGCAAGATCC